GACTGGGAGGCATGTGGATGGGAGCCACGTTTCATCAACGGAGCCGGCCCGCACTCCTTCACAGACAAACACAAGCATGCTGTATTTGGGAATCAATCGCACACAAGGCAGTGGCTGGACCGTGGTCGGCTTCACACTGAGTGCATGGAACCACTCTTCGAGCATAGCACGGCCACAAGGACCGTGCACCCCGCTCCCCTCCAGCAACGACCAACTCTCTCCTGGAGCCAGTATGGACGAGGTAGTGGGTACTAGACAAGTAGGCACCACACACACACACATCAAGCGCAGCCACACCGGGCTCTCCGCATATATATATATATATATATATATATATATATATATATATATATATATATATATATATATACAACTGTACAGTAAGGTCGAACGTACCGGTGCATTGTACACTCTACCCTTCAGGGCGAGAGTGATGTCGCACCACCGCCTTAGGTGGTGAAGACTAGGAAATGCGCTAATAAAACTTCGCGGGTAGTTGAACTTCTGGACGACTTCTAGCGGATCCACACCAGTGGTCAGCGAAGGAGGCGGTCCCAGCCAATCTTGGAAGAACGCTTTGCACTTCGATGGTGCAAAGCAAAGCCCTGAAGCGGCTGACAGCCAGTGCTAATCTGTCCACTGCCGCTTGACACGTCTGGGAGCTGTCACAGATGAGGGCAATATCGTCAGCATACTCCAAGTCAAGAAGTCGTTCTCCTGGGAGCAGATCCACACCATCTTGTAAGTCGTATCCTGTGAACGCGATTTTCATGACTTCATCAATAGCGAAGTTGAAGAGGTAAGATGACAACAGACATCCTGGTCTCACACCGCGAGAGATATTGAAGGGCGAGGACAGCTTGCCGTAAGCCCTCACTCTGCCCGTGCTACGCACGTATAATGCTCGGATAATCTTTACATATTTCTCAGGTACACCTTTCCTGAATATACAGTCCCAAAGTGCACCTCTATCCACCGAATCGAATGCACCTTTACTACCAGTGAACACGAGAACGGTGGGCTGACAAAATGTGATGATGCTCCAACAACTGACGCAAAGTGATGTGGTCGATGCAGCCACGACTTTGACGAAATCCGGCTTGCTCTTCACGAATATGGCTTTCACAAATGGCAGTCATTCGGTGAAGGATGACAGAGGCAAGCAATTTGGAGGCGATGGAGATAAGAATGATTCCCCTATGGTTGCCGCATTCCGAACACGAGCCTCCTTTAAAGATGGGAACAATAACGGAGCGGCTCCAGTCGGTAGGGACAGTTTCCTGCTGCTACCGTTTCATTAGTAACTCGAATAAATCATTCACAAGAGCAGGTCCCCCTAATTTGAAGAGGACTGGATGAAGATCATCTGGTCCCGCGGCTTTGTTCAACTTCAACAGTCCGATCTCGCGTTTGACTTCCGAGTGAGGGGGCGGATCCAAAGGGACAGCCCATGGAGCGGGGAGATCACCGGCCAGTGAGGAATCGAACAATTCCGGCCGATAAATTTGCTTTTCCGGATGCTCAGCCCAACGGTCCAAACGTGTTGACAAATTGTGGATAGGCTGCTAAATCTCGTCACAAGTTGTTTTGCTAACACCAGCTCTCCTGCTGCCCGTTTCCCATATCAGCCGGAATAACTTACGATGGTTACCAATGGCAGCGGCTACTTCCATCCCTGATGCACTAAGAGACCACCAGGATTTGCGGTCTCTCATCATACATTCACGGAGTCTTGTTCGGAGCTGTTTGCAAGTTTCATTGCGTTCGCTTCCAGTTGGAATATGCCGGCGAGCATGGATAAGGCCCAGAGACCACGAAGAGACCCAATGTCCATGTTGGCGATTAGACTCACCTCAAGTGGATTTATCTGCTGCTAGGAAGTTCTGATGAACATGCGACCAGTGACCCACAATTGTCTCCAGTGAGCTCTTACTCAACTCGCATGACAGCGTACTTTGATAGACATTCAGAACAGCTGGCTTCGTCGGTTGACTGGTGTTAATGCGCCCACAGCGTCGTCGTGGGTGCCCGCCAAAACGCATCTGCAGGTCTGCACATCCAAGCGCATGGTCGATGTTCACACATGGGCTCCAAATCGAGCGACAGTTCTTGATGCAACCTATCCATCGGAGTCTTATCGCAATGTGATCGATTTGCGTCCATAGCTGGTGGACTCCAAGTCACCCTCCGGCGTGTGCTGTGTCGGAAATTAGTGCTCGCAAGAAATAAGCGAGCATCCGCACACAAATGAAGTAACCGCTCATCGTTATCATTACGGGAGCCTAAACCGTTCTGATCGCCCAGTTGCAGTTCAACAGTGGACAACTTTCCAACTTGAGTGTTCAGATCCTCAGCCAGCACAACAGCGTCCGAGCTTTTTCTGTAGCGAAGAAGCTCGTTCAATTGGCGATAGAAGTCGTCTTTCACCGAATCTTCGCAGGAGTTTGTGGATGCATAGGCAACGATGACGAATAGACACCTGTTAGTCCCGCTCGACTTCGAAGCTTTCAACGAGCCAGCCCATCGGACCGCACACATCTTGCTACCGACTGGGATCCAATCAACTAGAGCATCTTCAGCCCGGGGGCTCAGGGCAATGCGAACACCGGATTGACCGGTGCTCGAAGCTGCATCGTCACCGGATAGGCGCAATGAGAAAGTGCTGCTGGTATCAACTGAAGGGGATTGCAGATTGAGCACATAGCTCGAGTCTTGCAGGCGGGTCTGCGATAAGCGGCAGATATCGATCCATAGGGTCTCTAATGTTCGGGCAAGTGCTGCTTGTTAACCAATCTGTAGCAATGTGCGTAGCTTAAGGCATGCCGACAGGATAGGGATAACGCTTCGGGTTCACCAGAAAGCTTAGCAAAGCAAGTTGACGGAGGGATAAGAATTGTCGGGTTGGCAACTGGGGGGATAAAAGGGAAGCTGGAACGGGAGGATAAGGGCGAAAAAGCGTAAGTGGGGGGAATAAGAAGATGGGAAGGCTTGAGCAGTAATATGCAAACCCCTATCCCCCCTGCTCGATGCAGCAGATAGGGCACCGTTGATTATCCTTTGTAGTGGTCAGAGCAACATTAATTTGTTTCACGAAAGATTCATTGTGTTGCGGAGCCAGGATACTGTCAGGTTGCCCAAGCCTAGACAGGAGAACGGTTAGGGTTCTCAACCAAAACCTTTGGTTCAAATACCTGCCCGCACATCCGCGGGTTTGACATTGAGTTACAAGGAGTCCGTTTTAAGTAAGAGGGAGCCACCTCATTCCAACCAGCTGCCTGGAGACTGAGTTTGTCTGGCCTCTAACCATTGACCAATCTGATATGATTGGCTCTGAAGGTGCAAAAAAGCCCCACCCAGCATAGCTCAATGGATCACTGAGGCAAAGAAATCACCACACCGCGGTAAGGTCCAGACTCATTGCGATGACTTTCAGGGTATCAATGTGCGACCACTGAATTGCCTTCTATTCGAATAATTTTCTCTCTGTCTGCCACCCGCGGAGCAGCATCCTTGTTCCCCCTTGGATATTGATTTAGCGTCATCGGAAATATGTGATTATTGTCACCAGACTGAACTAAACAATCTGAGACTGGTTGGGCCTCAGACATATCACATATCTATTATAAAATTGCAAGGTCCAATGTTGACATTGTATATACAGTGCGAACGTGGCAAAGCATTCAATGTACTCGAATTCTGTTTGGTTTATCCTTCTAATGCAGTCCCTGCTCGGTCTGCATATTCATCATCATTGAATCTGTGAATAATCGGTTTGCGACGAAGAGAAGTTGTCGATGCCTTTACGTCGACCGTTGCTTTATCCACTGGAACATCGTTTTTACTGTACTTACTTGGTTTGCAACAGTTTTATCGAAATACCTTGACACTGTGTTTGATTAGACTATTCCTATGGTCACAATTGCTGTTCTTTGCTACTTTTTCCAGAAAACCTTAAGATACAGTGAATTGTACACGATTCGTTATCAAGGAACAATTTGTCTTGGTTGGGAAGCTGGCTTTTTATGATGTTCTGCCTACATAATTTGAAATCGGATTTCTTCGTTCAGAAATTGCCGTTGTTGCTTGCATTTGTTTGTATTTCCATTCATACAAATTTGTATTTCTGATGTCATTTTGGCCCATCCGTAAGTGCTTTCGTAAAACGCTGAAAATGTGGCCACCTGGACTCCTTAAGTTTATTTTGACTTAACTTGACATAACTCTCTCTCTGGATGGACGATACTGTACTGTGGTTCATTTCGAACGAGCATTCCTTCGTGTGTTCCCACCTTCGACTCCTACTTTAATAATTCGTCCCTCATATTGTAGGTTAAGTAGAGGTTCGGTAAAGAGACCACACAATAGACCGATCACAGCATTTGGGATGCAGATTCCCCAACGGCGTGTGAGTATAGAGCTCCGTTAGGGTTTGATCTTGGTCGTTTTACAGAAGCGTAAGTGGTTTAAAATAATCCGCTGAAGGTTTACAACAGTTTACATAACGGTTGCTCATTCACGAGTTTTTGCCAGGCTTTCTCTCAGTCATAGACTGCACAGCAGCTTGGATCAATCGATAACCGACCATTGCGAGATGGTTGTCTTTCTTCATCGTGACAGATCAATCGTCTCTCTTCTGATACGTTTAATCGAACTGTTGGTTATTGTTTCTCTGATGTTTGAGTTTTTTTAATGGAAATAACAGGATTCAAACTCTCCCCAACATACAGTACGAAAGATGTCAGGTCATCAAGTCGTTTGGTCTTAACTGCCGTGAGTGAAATTGAACCTAGTGGCAGATTATGAAATTATGTAGTGCATCACTTTACTTTAACGTTGTTTGTTCCTCATTGCGACAATAGTGATTTATACATGCAGTTTGACTCCGTGGATATTCTGCCCACATATCTGTCTTATTTCGCATGCGCTCCACTTCATATACCTACTGTGTCCACAATTGATCCTTTTCGTTACGTCAGTTGTCTCACTCTCTCTGCTTACAGGTATCGGCGAATTCCCAACTGCTCACCTCGAATGCTGCCAACACACAGTCCGATCCTCAATCACTTCACGTGGTCATCACACAAGTCCCCATGAAGTCGAGTAATAACACGGCGGATAGTTCGGGTGATCGCGTTGACGATGTCGAAGAGCAGTTTATGGGGGATACCTCGCCAACATCATCTCCCACACAATCATACTCCGGTGAACGGAAAAGAATATCGTCTATGGCTCCCATTGCTGTTCAACCCGTAGCTGAACCTGCCATTCTATTCCAGAACTTTGTAAGTTATACATACTTACTTAACCAGTTCCCTTTGTTCGCTACTAGTACTCAACATCTACTGTGTACTAGCGTTTCTCTCCATATGTGTGTGGTTCTGGTGTCCCCTGTTTTTCCGATTACTCCTCAATCACTTGACCTCCATTTTGGGTGTTGGTATTTTTTGTATCGCATTCACTCCATAACGCCACCGCGGTTTCTGTGCATTCTCATGCAGACCAACGGGAACAACTCTGAATCTTCAACCAGCCTACCTCAAATTGCCTCCGCTCACGGGATTTCTGATCCGTTGTCAATGAATTCTGGCACCTCCATTTCCATCGCCATCCCGGTTACAGTATGTCCCGCTTCTGGATCAAACTCCCGTAGAGACTCCGTTCGATCCCTCGTGAAGGACGATCATCTCGCGCCTTCCATTCTGTCAAATGGGATGTCCACAGCCGCTGACACGACAACCCCACATCTGTCGGAGCTGAGTCAAGAGGAGGTGCTTGCTCGTCGTTTGTCCCGGTTGATCAAGCCAAGCTTTATGCAGGTGTACACAAAACATTTTAACGATGTGCGAACTGAGCCGAAACTTGTCGACGTCGCATTGGACAATCGCGGTACGCTGTTTCAACTGTTCGAGTTTTTCGATTGGGAGGTACGTTTCCGTGTCGAATTTGTTTTGTGTTCATTCGTGTTATCTATCGAGTGTGCGCCCCTCAGCCGCAATGCATCGCTGCCATCAGCAACAGCCGCAACACAATGGCAGTTTGTACTGATGATTCGTTGTCACGCGACCATAAGGATGTTATGGATAGGGAACGTTAGTAGGATGGGAACTCGATGTGAAGCCTTAATGCTTCTAAGATCGCGACGCCTTACTCTCACTTGCCAACAGTTTTGTCATTGTGTGGAAACAACACAGTGTCCATGAAGCATATATCCTGCGGCTTCCCTCGTTTCTCCTCTTGATCGAGCTGATCCCTTCAAACACTTCGGCATGAGACACACTGGTGCCGGTTGCGAACCGTGCCCGTTCATGTCTCGAGCTGAATACAATGTGGGTCGTGTGGACTGTATTGAGAACAACTGTACATGCACCGTCCGAATAATAAGCAGTATGGTTGTTCAACACGTCGAAAAATGCTTGGAACCTATCGAGAACGCTTGGTTTCAGACGGGTTTGAAAACAACCGCTTGGTATCGTCCTACATTATGTGTACCTGGGGGTACTCGCCTTGCGACACGTAATCTCAGGTGGGACCACGGTTTCCGTTGACGGCAAACAGCTGTTCTCTGTGACCACCGGGACCTCATTCGTAGTGTGAAGTTTCGACTTTGGTCATCCAACGACGGTTTTCGTTCTCGTTTAGGCTAATCAAGTAAAGTCGACCAGAGCTGCGAGAAGAAACTGGGACATAATGTCCTCATGTTTTGTTGTGTAACTGCTTTCATTACCTTTAGCAATCATCACCCATGACATTTTATTTTGGTGTTGACTCTGTTTTTCAGTGGAACCAACCGATCGAGGTTTCGCAGTCCGTTCGCCAAGCCTGTTGGTCCGTTTTCCATGAACAACTTAACGAAAGTCTCACAGACATGGTCCGGTTCATCAAACGTATTCCCGGCTTCCCCATCCTAAAACCACATGATCGCATCTTATTGGTGCGCAATAGCGGCTTCGAGGTTCGTTCATCTTACCTACATACCCGGTGTCTTTGATGATGAACGTCCCGCAATGGATTTCTTACTCATGTCTTTTTAATATGAATGCTTTCATACCATTTGCAATTTCCCTTGCATCGGTGTCTTCTGATCTCCTTTCCTTCGGTCGACCTGTTGACATTCTCGTTTTGTCATTGTAGTAATGACCGTTGTGTACCGTACCTTCTCCAGTTAGTTATACTTAACTTTCTATTTACGCTTTCATTTCACTTTCGCTAGCATAGGTTTGTTTATTCTTAACATTCTAAAGCCGTATATATGTTTGAATCCGAGCCAACCCCCATTGTGATGTTATTAAAACTGCGCTGCATTATTCGGAGATATGCCGGAGACTCATCCGCGAAGATGTGGCGTTCCAAGTACCCATTGTCCGGCCCGAGTGTTGTGCACATGGTTTCATTCTTTACGATCCCGTGACTGAATATGTCGATGTTGCACTTAAAATTTGCGTCGGGCGGTCTCCTAAGTCGATTACTGCGCATTTGCGGTTTGACTCCGAAGCCGCGCAACTAGGTAACCTACCCACTGCGATTTGGAAACCGTCAGAGACGAATTTGTGTGGCTTGGAGCACCGATACTGTGGCCATTATTGGAGATAGCATTGGTTGAATGAACAGCCTTTCTGAGTCCAACTCAGGTAATGGGAGGTCATTTTGTATCAATGCTGAATACCAACTTAATGCCGATCGTTTTTTTCCAATTACGCAACATTGTCCTCTTTCAACACAAACTGACATATAATCAGCTGGTCTCCACCGAGCGAAACGATGTCCCACTCGGAGGTCCACTGCCTTGGCATTAGTCGCATATAGCGCACGTTACCATTTTGGAACAATGGTCCAAACAGACAATAAACTGCTCAAATCGCAGCTACTCTTCTCTTGAGCTCAACTTGCGAAGCGATTTCATTTAGAAATTAGCTAGCAGCAACGAAACTGGTATGGAAGCAGAACACCACTCGAGTCTTTCTCTTGGTTGTGATACATGAAAAGTGTATTGCATTATATTGTATTGGTTCCCTCAGAAAGTACATTGATCTCTGATATGTAGTCAACTACACCAGGTGAACAGTTATGTGGTGTCCTCACAACCCTCTGTAACAACGTCTTTTCTCATGATTCGGGATACCTGTAGTTCGGGTTAGTGCTTAATGTTTTGATGGGTTTACCGAGTTGAGTAATATAATGGCAAACGTTTCACCACTTCCCTCAGTGGCATCTTCAGTGCACAGTTGCGTAGAGGATAATCTCACGGAAAGTGTCGTCTGGACTTACTGTTTGAAATTGGTCTCATCGCTCCGTGTCCCGTGACCTCTGTTCGTTCGATTTTCGGTCGCACATTTTCATGCTTTCTCAGCTGTAGGTACACTGGATCGAGGTCATTGCGGAGGTTCACTGAATTATCCATAGGAAGGAATTCTCTTCATTTTCTTCTCCCTCCGTATTCCAGATTTTCCGTGTTTTCCCTGTTAACATTGTGTCCTTCCTCATCCAGATGCGCTGAGATCTGTGACGATGCATCATGATATCGACATACACGCTTGTACTCTTGTATTCTTGTAGATAGTTTTTTCCATGTTTGACCAACATAGTTTTTCTCACAGTTCTCGCATTGTATCCTGTAGACGACATTTCGGCGTTCGTGTGACTTTAGGTCTAGACAAGATTCCATTCAAAGTATGTGAGCTACCATCAGGTTGTGCGACTTGAAGAGTTTGGCTATCTTTTCCGATACCTTTCTGATGTAGGACAAAGCGATACGTGTCCCCGTTGTTGGTGCAACTGCGGTAGTTGTGCTCCTTTGGTTTAGGTGTCTTCGGATGAAACTGCGTGGGTAGCCGTTACGAATGAAAGACATAGACAGATGTTCCACTTCGTTTCGTTTCGTCTCTGCAGTATTGCGATGTAATTCTATCCTACGAAACGGGGTCCGCATACAGCTTATTTTGTGCCACTTAGGATGATTGCTATTGTAGTTCAGGATTTGGTCGGAGTGTGTCGCTTTTCTGCAAAATGATGTTTGTAATTCGTCTTCCACTGCTCTGGTAACCAGCACTTTCAAACAAAGGAGTTGGTTTTCCACCTCTTCTTCCATGGTGAAACGAATACATTCCATTGCATTGTTGTGTAGGTCTTGTGCGGACTGTAACTGGCTACGTTTGAGAATCACAGACGTATCGCACCCATAATTTCGGACTAATGGTCCTCTTCTAACCTCTGCATGACGACCTCCGCAATAAGTCCCAGGTATGGGGGATCCCATTTTAGCTCTTCTCACTTGCTCGTAAAACACTCCGTTGAAAATTATTGAGAATGCCTGTAGCTCGGGGTGTGGATGAGAGGGTGTATGTGTTCTCTGGGCTAGGCAATTTTCTTGCATACAATTCATTGCGAAGCTAAACAACCTCCTCAGTGCGGCTATTAGGGTCTCATAAGCCACTGCCAGATCCAAGTGAATATTGATCGTCTCCTGCTTTGAATGTCAGTCTTCCATTGGCTCACGTGGGTCGGTCAAGTGGTCGCATCTTCGCCCTGTCGATCTGGTACTTGTTGTTGTTGTTGTTGTTGTTGTTGTTGTTGTTGTTGTTGTTGTTGATGATGATGATGATGATGATGATAGAGGTGAGAAGTACGGTGACGTCAAAGCATGCCATCACTCCTTCATGGTCTTTCCGCATACATTTGAGCTTTTACAAAAACTGGTGAGCATTGTTGATCGAGTATTGCGCTCCGCTGGTCAGGTATCTTTTCTCATGATGAATGGAAGGAGTTTCCTCATTTGGCAAGCCTCATTGGGGGGAAGTGGAGCGGATCACATCGTCAACTCCTGTTAAGCACACGTGCACAAACGACATCAATGCGCTCATCATCGAGTTTAATCTTTATGGGACTTACTTTATTTAGGTGAAACAAGACGCCTGTCTTGAGCCACATCTTTCTGTTGTTGTGGATTGACGGTGAAGCATCGTCACTCAGGACCTGTTGTGAAGCGCCACTGATATTCAGTGGCTGATCCAGAGGATGTGCATGGTTGTATGATTGGTATCGGCCTATTCTTCTTTGTCTTATCCACTCCTTAAAGCGGATGGTCCAGGGGTTCAGACATCTGGCTTGTAATTCCAAAGTCGTTGATTCGGTCCTGTGTAAGCCCTGATGCCCTCGTAATATTCCTATCCAGCACATGACTACCAGTGGTCGCACTAGCTACCACGTACTGCTGACTGCCCCAGCTTCTGCATTCGCAGTTGTAACCGTTCTCTCAGTCCGTTGCTTTTCTTTCACCAGGTTCATTGTTAGCAGCCTACATTGATGCTCCTGTTTAGCACGTGAACGTTAGAGGTCGCCCTTTTGAAAACGTGGTCGGTCGCTCACACATTTACACTCAGCTGCTTTAGACATCATGATGGCAGTTTGAATCCAGGACGTTGGGATGTTACGCGAGACTTCTACCCCTAATCACTCACTAGGTCTCGGCTGTCAGCGCTCATCACGACGGTTAATGAGTCATTTGAGGCACTTGTTGTGTGAATAGATTGCGACATGCACTCACAATTTAGATGACGATTCTCTTTGAAATGAACTTGAGTCAATTCGGTCTCATGGACCGTAACTGAAGCAGAGGAACATTAGTTGTTGTAACTCGGATCCGGGACATGCGGGGTGTTGCTGTGAAATCCTTCTCTTAGCTTGCGAGGAGATGCGACATGATGAAGCTTTACTTCTCTAAAACCGCTCCGGGATATGTTCGCGAATCATGTAAGGTAGGCACTTCGTAGTACGACCCACGTATCGTGCATTGCAAGAGCACGGGTACTGATGCACAAGCATTGGTCAAGTCTACGAAGGCAGTTCAGTCATCGAAAGTTCTGCGTGTAATGGGTTGTTGTAGTATACTATGCGTATGCGCGCCGCCGAATGGATCTACTCGACAGTATCTTTGATCAGGACATTAGCTGCACTGATGCCTATGAATAGTAAATATAGAATAAATTCTTTATTGGGTACACTCATCCTCGGCAGTTTTCTCGTTACGTTCTTTCAGACGGAATGAATTTATCCGGATAACCATTTGCTCTTAGGACGTCGTTGATCCTCTGCGGTTCCACGGTAACAGTGTCCGGTGTGCAAATGCTGTGCTCCCGGAAAGCAAGAGTGCAGACTAGATTCCGTGGGTAATGAATTGGTACTGCAATACAATAGCTGGCTTCCTGTCCGGTCCTAGTGGGTTTTATAAATAGCTTTCTGCTGCACGTTCGGCTTGTGTTTCAGCTAATATCGATGTCCAGAAACGGCGGTCGGTCGACGGACTCGTATTCGCAAGTTAGATGCAAATTCTAGTGAGCATCCTTAAAAGCTTTCAACAGCTTTCAGCCGTTACTTTCGATTTTCAGAGTTATAAGGTGTCCTTTGCATAACGTGTATATACATGTCAGCTTCGTTGATGTGCGAACTTACTGACCTGTGCTGCAATTTCGTCACAAATGTATCTTCCAACGTGAGTCCCAACCGCGACCCAGTTTAAGGTAAAGCGCATGTTTTAAATGCATCTGAGTAACACTTCCTTTAGCCGCCTTACTAGTTCGCAGACGTATTTTACTGTTTCTAATAGCAGAATATTCGTAACCAAGGACCGGATTTCAAATGGGTACATTAACCTGTTGTTAAGGCTCACTTTGCCTTACCGACGAACTCGATGACATCCTATTACTTTGTTAGCGCAGCTTTTTTCCACCTGTGGTTCTCACTTCTCAATCATCCATTTAGTTGACAATTGTTGTGTAGAACTAACTATGTCTCACTCCATTCAGTGTGCTTATTGTCTCCGCGTTGTTTTCCTACCTGTGGTCACTTTTCGCTCATCGCATTGGTATTATAGCCCACATGAGTGAATAGCATCGTAGCAACAAGAGAGCGTGTGAATGGTTGTGGTTGTAAGCTTGGCGACAATCGGACCAGTCCGTCTTGCAGGTTGCGCACCGCGAGATGCTGAATCTCAGTGGTTGGAAACATCAAACCTCATGGCGCGCAACAGATATCTGTGGCGTCAGTGTTGTTTTGCCATTATATCCCCCCTTTAAAATACACAAAAACTCACAAAACAACAGCAAACATGAAAATGACCTGTTTAAAACCCAAAAAATCGTTTTCCATTTTTTGATCACAGTTCCTGTTTCAGTCTTCTCCAATTTTTTCTTCTGCCATGGTTCTGATGGCACAATGTCTTTTAACCGATGGTGAACATATATATATATATATATATATATATATATATATATATATATATATATATATATATATATATATATATATATATCATAGCCCACACTGTCATTGAACTGTGTTGCGCTCAATTCCGTAGCCACAGGTCTTTTGGTGTCACTATTAGTCAAAATCTTTTGATGTACCCTGTAGCAATCCCACTGTACTGTTGCCGAAATCTTACCATAGGAAATATCTCCGTCTCAGTTGGACAACTATGATCCCAGAACCGTAGTGCAGTGGATCCGATCGCCACAACTCACGTCGCTTGAATAACAACGAGTAATCCCCGTAAGAAAGTGAGGTTGAACGCGAACAGAATACGAAGAATGTGGGATAGGATAGAGTGCCTCAGCTTGGCCAGTTCCATCAGTTTCTTCATGCTTTTTTGCCACGTCGTACACTGACCAATTCGGAGTTTCGTCCGTCTAATTTACCATTTACTTGCGCTCCGATTTTGCAGTTGGCCTTCATGGCCCACTATCTCTACTGGAATACGGAATTCGGCACATGGCATGGACCCGATCACTTTGTCCTAACACTTGACCAGTTGATCACCATATTTCCTGCCGGTGAGCTATTTTTCCAAAGCGGATTTGCAAGTGCTAAGCGACTATCGAAGTTGACGCAACAACTGCAGCATTTAGGCCAAGTTGCTGCGTTGGTGATACTTAATTCAGGTGAGTTATTTTATCAAAAGCTTTGCTCATTTTGCCATCTCGATGTAAATAGGGCCTAATCAATTTCAGCTACATGTGTTCTCTGCTTAATCAATTTATCCATCTCCGCCGAAATCCCGACTTGTTACTGTTCTTTTGTTAGTCTTTACTCCTTAATTTCTTTGTGACTTCTCGTACATATATAACTTTTTATTATAAAGTAAGGGCGTGAATGGCAAACCTAAGAATTTATCGCATCTAAACCCAGACAACCATCACATTCCCGGCCCTTTCATCCTTAAGGGAAGCGTCACCACTGCGCCTCCCTGTTCTTGGCACGGCAGTACCATGCAAGGCAGTGCATAGTGAGTGGCGCTATACCACATCTAGTTACCATGGTTGTTAACGTCCCCTGTAGATCGGTGACCTTAACCACAACCTGGCAGCGCTCGAGTCATAGGTTCTAGCTCTACAGGGTTCAGATGAAGCCCGCACTGCTGACGATTTCCGAAAGGGTAAAAAGGCCCTGCAGTATAAACTTCCGTTCAATCGGAGTTTAAGTCTTTATCATTTGCGTATCTCCCTTTTTCTCTGTTTCGCTCCAGACCTCGAGACTTTATCGGACCGCGAAACCGTCGAGGCCTTACGAGAGAAAATGATGAACGCGATTCGCTACAGCCTTAACTCCCGGTCTCAAGATGTGGATAAAATTATGCTCCAGGTCTCCACTGCAGTAGACGGTCTACGAGAAATGGGTAACGAGCACCGGATTTTGTTGGACAGTCTAAGGGAAGAGGACCACTTCGAATTCCCCGACGATCTTTACGCTGAGCTTTTCGAATTGGTCGGAGAGTGATAGTGTATCTTTACGTTTTAGTCCGCGATATATATTTTTTATGCTTTGTCGCTCTAACAACCTCCGTTCCAGTCCGATTGATCCCACACATGTACAATCATTTCCTGCATTTCTCATTTTGTCTCTCTCTCTGTAAATCTCACCAACACATATACACACAATGATTTGTCTCCCTAACCTGTATCTAAACCACTCCTATGCACATGCCATGCTTCCAGATTCGGTCATATCTCGCGCTGTTTTTCCCTCTCTTGTTCTTACTATCCCTTGTGCGTGTGCAATCTACTTCTCGGTATTCTTTGGCCAATTCCTACCATGGTGGGTGATTTTTAGGTCACTCTGGTCGTGTGAATGCACCCCATGGTTTCGATTCAAACGGGAATTGACGCTCCGCAGTTATTCATCCTTTGTCTTTCCCTTCTCTCCAAAGGGCTAGTGACTTACAGTGTCTCGGATGACTTTATACTTTTGGAGAAGATTTATTGCTGCTAAGCTCAACCGGACGGCCGTTCACTCATGTTAGGGGTCATGATTAGCGCGCATCCGCCCCACGAGTCAGCGCTGATTTCGGATCCGGCGGATGCGCTACTGACGGGTTCCGATAGCACAAAACACAACCATCTAGCCTTTTCCTTGACGTCCGTTGGCTAACTGACTTAGTCTATTGGCGACGAATCTCAAATACACAATAAATCTCCCTGCTAATCTCCAATAAATTCGTTCTTTTTCCATATGCAATGGCAAGCTTTTAGCGTACACTTTCGTCCGTCACTATATCACTGAGTCTTGCGTGCGTTGTTCTTCTCAACTGGTTGGACTTTGAGCCTGATTTTGACGATCTTCGATTGTGGCACGGATCGTTTACTTGTATGTGGACCCCAACTATTATTATGATTTCTGGGAGAGTAGATTTTGATTTGTTCTTTAGCTGTGTGACTATTTTGCAGACGTTTCCTTGCCAGACTGTGCAACATGTTCAGTGCGCCTTCAGGGGTCTAGGTCCCAGTGCCTCGTAAGCGACTTCGAGGTCTAAGCGCTTATTGATCGAATACTGCTTTGAATGCCAGGTTTCCATGAACTCACGTGCCATCCGGTCTTTAGCCCTTCTGTGGATGTTGGCGTGTTATCAGTTAGACAACTTGAGTTCTGATCGTGACGACGAATGGCTGGGCTGTGCCAAGCTTTCTTCCAGTCTGTCCAACGTAGTATTTGTCGCAATTCCTGCAGCAGATCTTATAAATCACATCAGTTGTTTCCTTCTTGATACGTTCATCTTTCTCTTTGAACAGTTTACTGCGAATTGTCTCCGTTGGTTGGTGTGCAACTTTGACTTTAAAAAAAGGTTATAATAGTCTCGCTGCCATTTCAGATTCTGTTGGTATAAAGCAACTGTTGCGTTTGTTGTGGTACATTGTAGAGCTTTTGTGGCGCCAGACGGCGTAGTGTGCAACCTTTGAGTACGCGCTTCGCCTGGGTAGACTGAAGAGATGGTCTTCCTCCGCCTGCCTCAGCTGCGGTGTGCTACAGGTTATTCGCGCTCGTTTGAAAAGGGTTCGCACGCAGCTGCGTTTGTGGGCTGCCAGATGATTGATACCGTAATTGAGCATCTGGTCCGTATGCGTTGATTTTCGTTGGACTGGTGTTTCCAGTCGTCTAGCACCAGTCCTTCCTATGAGAACGTCTAAGAATGGTAACTGCTTCTCCCTGGTGAATTTGATACCATCGAACACACTGTTGTATAGTTTGTGTGTCTACTCCAGTTTGGAACGCTTGACGATGACCAAGGTGCCATTTGTTCTATCGTCTGCATCACTGCCTCGGCTACCAAATTAAAGATCCACGATCCCATTAGTGTGCTTCTTGTCTGTTCGTAAATTTGGCCATTAAAAGTGAATGTGCTTTTGAACAAATTCCATCATCTGTTTGGTGTCGATTTTACTACTTGCATCAGCTGATGTATGTTCGTCCAGCAAGCGCGTCCTTGTGTGTGTCGTCCTTGTGATGGCGCTTGATGTGAACAAGGCTTTAGTGCTTGTAAGTTTCCGAAAAAAACTGTTCTGTCGAGTTGATTAAGAGGGTTTTGATCCCTCGACTAGGGGTTTTAGCCGTCTCCGAAACTCTTGCAAGTCTGTAATTTGGTACCCCAAGTAACGACACGATGTGGCGAAGAGGCGCTCCGCTTTTGTGTACTTTAGGTAAACTGTAGAACCGCGGTAGTACCGAGTCTTGTGGTCGCATCATCTTGCGTCCCAAATTTATGATTTGTTCCACTCTTTGCGGAGTGCGTCTGATGTTGCCTTCTAAGCATTTTGTCGGGCCTTCGTTCATCAAATGGTATGCGTTGGTATAGCTGAGTTGGTGGTGTGCTTGCGTCATGCAATCAACTTTGTCCATTGGAGTCCTTACTATTATGTTGCGTACCTCGGGCAATGACTGCTTTCTCCTCGCCGATAAGTTTCTGTTGGATAGGTTTTTAATCCGCACATCTCCCCTGGTTGGTTTATGTCGCGAGATCGAATTCAGCTTTTCTTCAAGCTTCAGTTTGGTGTTGGACTTTGTCATACCTTTTTTGATGACTATCACTTTTACCAATTCTTCAATCAAATTGCGATTCTAGTCTGTATAAAAGAATCGCCTTTTGTTGGTCAATCACCATTTGCATCTGTTATCCATAGATGCAACATTCCTCGTCCGTGTTGTTCCGTTGTCTTCCAAACCAAAGCATGGTTGATCGGAGTACGGTAGTGCAGACTCGGTGGCAAAAAGCGTCTCCGCAAACATTCATGAGGAAAATAAAGCTGCTCGTCAGTGCACGGCTGCCGCTGGCAAATGTCTTCCTTCGGCGAGCAGATTTCAACGTGTTGAGTCCAAATTGAAATATTTGAGAATGTAATGGGAAGATCAAACTAAAGGGGCTTAACTACATAAGAGAACTCACAGTCTGAAAACTGGACCTGACCTTCGGTAAAGCACGATCGTCGGTAAGCCGTCAGTTAGTCGCACAATCCGGTCGGAAGACGAAACTTAGTCGGCACCATAATTCGACGCGGTAAATCTGATGATCGGTGAACGAGGTAAACAGACGGACGACCAACGGCACAACACGCTTAGCCGAAATCACGAGGCGAATCGACCCCAGAAAAAGCGTTTTTATCGATTGTTGTTCAATTAAAACAAACCTGTACAACAAATATTGGAAATGATAATAGGGAAGTACAATTTGGAGATGTGAGATGTGCAATCGCTACAGAACTCCCCCCCCTTAGAGCGTGAGTCACTGAGACGAAGGCTCGATACTGTGTGTCATTTCTCGTAGTCTGGAAGGGAGAAGAACTGTTCGTCCGAAGCAAGTTTGTGTCTGGAGATGCGTGGGGTGCACCCCCATGGGGGTGCGTGGGTACTCAGCCCATGGGCTGAGTAGGAGGCGTACTTGGGAAGGTGGGCTGGTTACTGACAGGAATGTCCGCGGGTTTCGATAGTGGTCGCGTCTCGATGCAAGCCGGCTTTAAGCGTTCAATGCTAACAGTATCCTGATAACCATTTCTATCCAGAACGAATTACTTCTCCTTCCGGGCAACAACCTTAAAGGGGCCCTCGTAAAGCGGTGTAAGAAGTTTACGGACGGAATCGGCACGCACGGGAACGAAAAAGTAAGTGCGCAAATTCCAGTGTACCTGTTGACTCCAAGGACTGATTCGAGGTGGTGTTGGACGAATTGAACTGAAGTGTCGCCTCAGGTGTGTGACGTACGAGGTCGGATCAACTTCTCCAATAACCCTTGAGTCTGAGAGTAGTGCCAAAGACCAACTCAGTCGGACAACAGCCAATGTCTTCTTTAATGGTGTTACGAATGCCAAGCAAGATAATCGGTAGACCTACTGACCATTGTGAGATAGACTGCGAAGCAGTAATTGCGGCTTTGAGTTGACGGTGGAAACGTTCAACGATGACATTAGCAGCTGGATGATAGGCGGTTGTCCGTGGTGGGAACAATCAAGCAAGCGGTTCAAGTCACGAAACAAGACCGAATTGAACTGGAGCTCTTTATCGGTAGTAATAGTGGCTGGCGTGCCAAAGACGGAAATCCAATTCTCAATGAATGTTCGCGCCACAGTTTCTGTAAAAGCATCACGTAAAGGCACAGCACATGGCCAACGCGTATATCGATCAACCCATGTCAATAAGTTGACAAAACCGTGGAATGGAGGCAAGGGTACAACGATGTCGAGATGAACATATTTGAAACGGGCGGCGGGAGGAGCAAACGTGCCGGGGACGGTAATCATATGACGGTGCATCTTGCTGGTTTGGCAAGTGATACAGTGTTTGGTCCACTGCTGGATCTCGGGGCGCATGTTATGCCAAATGAAGCGATCAGTACTTAGCTTGACGGTGGCTCGGATGGTCGGGTGTGAGCCTCCATGCATGTGGTCAAAGCCGATTCGGCGGTATTGCTGAAGCCGGTGCTTGCCAGTAGAAATATCACAGTAAATTTTGGAGTCTAGATTAAGGATTGGCAGCTGTGATATTTTGATCTCAGTTGAACAAACTCATTATGTCCTTCCTGATGAGCTGCTATGTCTTTTAACATGATCGTCTCCCGTGAAACTTGGTCAAGACATATAAGCGACATGGCATCGGCGACAACGTTATTGGCAGCATTAACATAGTGAATGTCAGTCGAAAACTGTGAGATATAATCTAAGTGACGAATTTCTCTGGGATAGAAACGGCCGGTGGAATCACGGAATGCAGAGGCAAGTGGTTTATGGTCTGTAAGAATGGTAAACGTGCAGCTTTCAAGCAGGTGCCGAAAATGTTTGATGACGAGGTAGATAGCTAAAAGTTCTCTACCGAAGGTGCTGTATCGCGTTTGTGCTGGCTGTAGATTGTGAGAGCAAAAGGATAGCGGCTCAGGTTGACCGTTGATTACCTGCTGGAGAATAGCCCCAACGGCGGTCTGCGATGCATCCGTCTTGAAGGCGAGAGTGGTATCAACATCAGTACTCAAATGACTAAGCGCGGTACCGTTAGACAAAGCGTGCTTGATCGTGTCGAATGCATTACTAGCTTCTTGAGTGGGCTCAAATTTCTGTGACTTACCTTTAAGTAAATTGCTCAATGACTGGAGTAGCCCAGAGCAATCTGGTAGGAAATTGCTGTAGTAATTTATCATGCCGACAAAACGACGGATACTTTTGAAGGATTGTGGCATGGTGTACTCTGCACTCACTCGTGCTATCTCGGGGAGTGTACTAGTGCCGTTGCAATCAACTCGGAGGCCCAAATAAGCAACAGAACTTTGGCCAAAAACACGCTTTTCGACATTGATTGTAACGCCGTAATGAGCAAAGCGTTCGAAAATCGATCGAAGGTGTGACAGCTGCTCATCATAATTGAAACTTGCCATAAGAATATTTTCAATGTAGAGATAGACGAAGTCGAGCCCTCTAAGGACTTGATCGGTAAACTTTTGGAAAGTCTTCGGCATTTCATAGACCGAATGGTTTGGTGATGGCGGTCTTCGGAATATCGTCGGGAGCAATCGGAAGTTGGTAGTATGCGCGCACCAGGTTAATCTTAGAGAAAATTGTTCTTCCATGTAAACCAGTTGAAAACTCATGGATGTGCGGAATCGGATATTTATTTGGGACGGTGGTATTGTTTAGCGCCCGGTAATCTCCGCATAGTCTCCAATGGCCACTGCACTTTTTGGGAACCATATGAATCAGGGAGGACCATGGACTATTGGAAAGACGAACGACACGATGATGAAGCATATGTTCGAACTCTGCCTTGGCAGTAGCGAGCTTGTTTGGTGGTAATCCTCGAGGTCTGGCGGTTACTGGCGGTCCGTGTGTTAAGATGTGGTGAGTAGTTTCGTGCTTAGGCTCAGGACAGTCATTA